TTTTTTAATTCTCCAAAACAAAATGAACAGTTAGAAGAGACTCAGAAAGAAATTGCATTTAGATATAATATATAATTAGAAAATGATTTAATTTTATTTGATTTAATATCAATTGATCAATGTCCATTAAAAATTTTGCGAATTATTAATGATGTAAGACCTGATAGAGATCATTTTTAGCTTCTTAAAAAAGATTATAAATATTAAAAGATCCTATTAAACAGGCTCTTTTAAATTTATGTCTAGAGAATGAATATAAAAAAGATTATGAAAAATTAAAAATGCGAATTCTTTTAGATTATGAATGGATTTTATTAAAAAAATTAATTGTTTTTGTTAAACCTATTGAAGAAGCAACAGAATGGTTAAGTGGTCAAAAATATTGTACACTTTCTTTAATATATCCATTTATTTATGCATTATATTATGATTATATATTAGATATAGATGATAATATTATTAATGAAAGTAGTAAGTATAATATTTAAATAATTAAAAATAATTAAATTATATTTATTAATATTTAAATTTTTTTTTTAGATAATAATAATATTACTATAGATGAGGATTCTGAAGATAATGAAAGTATGCTTGATGATAAAGAAAGTGATGATGATAATGATGAGGAACAAATTTATCCAAATAATACACAAATGTCTTTATCAGAAATTAATATATTATTAATTTTGTCAAAAAGCAATATATGACACGTTATTTGAATATTTTAATTCATCACTTGAAATTGCTATACTTGTTAGCCTTTTAGATTCAAGATTTAAAAAAATATATGGATAGCCTGAAGAAGTGCATGAAATGGCAATATCTTTATTAAAAAGAGAATATCATTTATTAAAAAATGAAGAAACTGTTATGTTTCAAATAAATTCAAGAAATAATTATCCAATAAGCGGGTTTAAATCACATTTATTTGGATCATATGAAATAGATGAAAAAGATGATGAAATCAATTGCTATTTGGATAATTTTAGAACTCTACAAGCTATACTCGAAATGGATCTATTTCAATGGTAGATTGATAATAAAAAGAAATTTCTAACTTTATTTAAAATAGCTAGAAAATATTTGAGTGTACCAGCCACATCTGTTCTAAGTAAGTGGCTTTTTAGTGATGCTGAAAATCAAATTACTAAAGATTAGACTAGTTTAAAATCAGAGACTGTTAATGAATTATTGTTTGTAAAATGAAATAGTAAATATTATAATCCTTTTGTATAATTGTAAGTTGGCAAATTAAAGAGATTTTAGTAGTTATTATAATATTTGTAATTGATAAAATTAGTTTATTGTAATTTTTTGATGTTTATATTAATATTAATAAATCAATCAATGATTAAGCAATTAAAATTCGATTTTTAGTTTATTCTTTGATTGAATAATACAATCGATTAAGAAATCAATCATACGTGATCAATCAAATAAATCAATTTTTAATTGATCAAGTAAGTAAAAGATCGACCAAATCATTGATTATGATTTTTTTTATCAATTAAATACCTTAAGTATTATTATAAAATTATTTTATATTTAAAGTATTATTTATAAATTTAAAAATTAAAATAAAAATTAATTAAAAAATTAATAATATAATTCTTTAAGTATTAATATTATTTAATATTATTTAATATTGTAAATTTATCTTTATTTATTATAAAAATTATTTTACTTATATTGTATTTAATTTAAATTTAACAAAAATTTTTATAATATTTTTAATTTTTATTAAGTAAAGAAGAGTATTTAAATAAATCACTTATATAAATATTTATATAATAAATATAAGCTTTTAAATTATAATGATTATAATATTAAAATTTTTTAGTAAATATATGAAAAACTTTGTAATGAAAATATAAATATAATGATTAAAATGTTTTTTTATAAAGATAATTAATTATTTTATTATTAACTTTAAGATAAATAAACTATAATATGTAAAGTTGATAGAAGTATCAAAAATGTACAAATGTTTTGTTTTTATAATACAATATATAATTATTTAAATTTAAAGAAGACAGTATTAATGCATGTTTAATTGCATCCAAAATAATTCTTTTAACCTTAATTAACTATGCAATAATTAATATATTTATGTAAATGGCTAGATTCTTTACACAAATGAACAATAACTATAATCCAAAATTTGTAAAATTCAAATGTTTTAGATCTTAATTACCGCAATTCTTCCTGTCCTATTCTAGATTGATCGTTATCAAGCATTGAATACTTATACTTATTATATTTAAATATAAACATCTCGCCCATTATGTATAGAATCAAAGCAAATATTGCCAATGCAGTCATAATCTGAAACATTAAAGTAGGACTTCTAGAAAAGATAACGGCACCAATAATTGCTCCGATTCCAGAAGATAAACTTTGAAAAATTCCATAATAAATACCAAGGTACGTCGCTTGTAAAGAATTTGGAGCAAAGTTGCTGGTAATTTCTACCCCGGCTGTCCATATTAATGCGTACATAACCCCTTGTAGCTATTAAATTAATTAAATTACTTATTATAAATAAATAAATATAAATATATATATATATATTTATCTAAATCTATATAATATTAAAATCAAGATGTTACCAATTCTATAGGTAGGGCCATCCATGATTTCATTTTCTTTTCAAGAAATCCATATAAACCAACTCTAATAATGAGGGCAAGTTGACCAACAATAATCATGTTTCGAGGTCCTAATAATTTCATAAATTCTTTGGCATAATTAAAACATATAATCTCTAAAGATATTCCCATGACATTGCACAGTCCCAACAAAGTTCCACTAGCATGAAAAGTTTCTGATACAAATAAGTATTAATAATTAAAAAAAAAACCCCCTGAGATAAATAAAACAGAAAAATAAAATTAATACCTGAAAGGTATAAGAAGAGATAAATGCCACATACTGACTTGACTATTGCAATTAAAAGAGTGATAAATAGAAAGAATAAAAACTTGGGATTTTCGAGTAACTGTAACAATATTGAAGTCGAATTCAGGATAGTTATTGATTTCTTAGTACTATTTTCCGTTCCGAGATCGGCCTCGGTATTTGTATCATTATCTATAATATTATCCTTGACAAACAAATCTAATTCTAAATCATCATCATTGTTTAAAGGTATGTTTTGATTAATTTTTTGATAATAATTAAAATTATTCGTGGATGTACTAATTATAAGCCCAGCGAACGCTCCCATCTGTTTTGAATAATTTGAAAACAATAATAATATTTAGGATATCTGCTATAGATAAGAATTTTTTAATTATTAAAAATTACAGGGATACAAACCATACATAAATAAATTATAAATATCACATGAAGACCAATTAAATCAGTTAAGAAGCCTTATACCCAAAACAAAAGGATTAGAATACATTATATAATATATTCGATAAAAAAAAAAACTTTAGCAGTATTTATGATTGCTTTTGACTTGAAATACCTACCTGAAACCGAAGCAAATAAACCACAAGACAAAGTTCCCCAAAGGCGCTAACCGAAGGCATACAATATATTAACTAGTTAATTAATTATTCGAGTTGCAACGCTTAAAAAAAGAGAAATAACGGAACTTCTTGATAATAATTATTATAAATTATAAATTAATCTTGTTGATTATTTATAACAAGTACTCATAGCAACCATCAATCAAAGAATATCTTTCCAAACTTTTTTAAATTTTAATTTCTCAAATAACTTCTCAACTTGATGCGCACCTGTCGACCATATTCTACCCGTTTCCCATCTTTTTTTAATGTTGCTAAAAAACGCAAACAAGAAATAAAATTTGAGCAGAGAATTTTAATAAATTTCTTTTAACGAAAGAAAAAAAAAAAAAGAGAAACCTATTGTGAAATTATCGATTAAAGGAGCAATTCCTCCATTGAATAAAGCACAAAAGAGGAAAGAGAGCAAGAGTCCTTCAAAGCCAATAATTTTTCCAGTTAATGGATAACTAATCGTAGTGCAAGTAGCGAAAGATATACAAGTTAAAAGTATAAATTTGTGCGCGCAAAATTTGTCGGCCAAAAACTAAATGAACAGTAAATTAGTATTATAGTAGTTAATTAGAAATAATTGAAATAATTGAAACTTGTAAGAAAATAAATGACAAACAGTCCAGATTCCAGCACTAAAAAATTCAACAAAAGGAGTTATCGATAACAAAAAACCGATTTGTTCCTCTTTTATCAATAGTACTTTGGAAAGGAATAAGGGCATATAAGGAAATACGGAGCAACTTGCTGCAAGTAAAAAAAAGTATAAGAGTTTGAGCCTTAAGTGTTTAATAGGTAATTTAGACATTTGAAACAAAATCTGAATTCAAAAGTCCGGAGAATTAAAAAAAACTTAAATAGTCACATGTTATGAAACGAGTGACATCACAAATCACTAGATGCATTGTAAGAACATTACAAGAAACAAAATTCGAAAAAATCGATTGAATCTAATTATTCTAATTTTTTATTATTTTAATATACTTCTGGATATCGGAAAAGGGAATTTGTAATACTTTTATTTGTTAAAGAATTGAAAATAAAAGTCCCAAGAATTGCTTTTGCTCTAAGAAATTTACAAACATCATGGGTTTACTAAAATGCAATTCACTTAAAAAAAAAAAAAAAACCACCTGTTATATATTTATGACCATCTGTAATTCTCCGATGGGATGTTGATATAATTGTAACTAAGAAACATTCATACTAGAGTATCATTTCAAACAAAAATTATATAAAAAAAAAGGAAAAAAAAAAAACAAAACTATATATATTATTTTTTTTTTTTATTTTTTTATTTTTTATTTTTTTTTTTTTAATTTTTTTTTTTTTTTTTTGAACATGGAAGCAAAACGTCCCCCCCTCCAAAAAAAAAAAAAAAAAAAAAATTTCAAAAAAAAAAACAAAAAAACAAAAAAAAAAATTAAAAACAAAAAAAAAAACAAAAAATTTAACTGAAATATTTTTAAAAAAATGGCTACTGAAGACTCCACCAACGCACTTTTAAAAATGGTAAGTTCTTTGGCTTTATTTATATCATTTTTATTTCCATCGAGTTATACGCGCGATCAAATATGTGTATTATTATCAGGCATATGCAATGGACTCAATAACAAGTATATTATTATTATTATTATTATTATTATTACAACAATTCCCAAATTAATATTTCTTATAGGGCGTTTACAAAGAAAGCCCTTCAAAATCAACAAAAATGACTTCAAAGGATGAAGTTCAAACAGTACCCTCTACTATCCCAACGACACAAACTCAAATCCAAACCCAACAAAAAAATTCTCCCACAACTTCGATCCAACCTAGGTATCAATTAAATTTATGTTGTAAATATTTCTTATTTAAAATCAAAAATAATTTACTTTTTCTTTTTGACAATTAGTTCTAGTGGACAACAAAATATGCTTCCAGGACTTCCTTCTACTCCTCAACAAAAACAGGATTCAGTAACGATCCATTCTGGTCCTTTACCTATCCAACCAGCACCACACACTCCTCAACATGGTGTTACGCCACAATCCCAACAGCATACTCCGTTAAGGCCTAATTTATCTGCGACAACGACACCTCAGACAACACCAAGTGGTAAACCTCCCGTCGGTAGTGACGAATGGCATCGACAACGTCGCGAGAATCACAAAGAGGTTGAGCGTCGTCGCCGTGATACGATCAACGCTGGTATTAATGATTTAGCCAAGATCGTACCTGGTTGTGAGAAAAATAAAGGAAGTATTCTCAATAGGGCGGTTCAATATATTCAACAGCTTAAAGAGAATGAGGCTGCGAACATCGAAAAGTGGACATTGGAGAAATTGTTAACAGATCAAGCCCTTCAGGAATTACAAACACAAGTTGAGATGCTTAAATCTGAAAATGGGAGACTTAGGGCAGAACTAGAAGAATTACAGGGTCCATCAAAAAAGAAGCAACGAACTGATTGATTAATAACATTTTAAATATTGATGCCAGTTAATATTATTAGTTTGGGAGCTGGCTCATTATCTGAAAGATATTGAGTTAATAATATATATTATATGTTTTGATTTTTTTGATTTTTTTTTTTTTGAATTTTTTTTTTTTTTTTTTTTTTTTTTTTTTTTTTTTTTTTTTTTTTTTTTTTTTTTTTTTTTTTTTTTTTTTTTT